CTGAAAATCATAATCTTTTTGATATAACGGATTAAATTAAATAGTACATCATTAAAATTCATTGCTCCTGTTTCTTCTTACTTTTTTAATGTAGCTACTTTGGTCACGTTATCAGGAGGGACTAGTCCCTTGAGAAGGACATCATGGTTGGTAAAGCAGAGGGTCAGTGAAAAAGAGGAAGACCCTCAATGAGATGGATTTACACAGTGGTTGCAACAATGGGTTCAAGTGTAGTAACAACTGTGAGGATGGCACAGGACAGGGTGGTATTTCATTTATTCTGTTGTATGAGTTGGACCACCTCAACAACACCTAACAACAACTAAAAAAAAAAGAAAAAATAAACCAAACTCACTGCCGTTGAGTCGATCCTGACTCATAGCAACCCCTCCTTGGGTTTCCGAGGCGTATCTCTACGGAAGTAGATTGCCTAGTCTTCCTTTGGAGGAGTGGCTGGTGGGTTTGAACTGCCAGCCTTCTGGTTAGCAGTAAAATGCCTTAGGCACTGAATTATATATGTGGCTCACAAGGAGCTCTGGTGGTGTAATGGTTAAGGTATTCAGCTGCTAACCAAACTGTGAGTTGTTTGAACCCACCAGCTGCTCCTCAGAAGAAAGATGAGGCAGTCTGCTTCCGTAAAGATTTATAGCCCTTTGGGACGGACTATGGTCGCAAGGGACACATCAAGCTCAACTGGCATAACATACTACACAAAAACATTGCTCTACATCTTACTTTGGTGAATAGCGACTGGGGTCTTAAAAACTTGCAAATGGTCATCTAGATGCAACAATGGGTCTCTGCCCAGAGCAAAGAAAAATGAAGAAAAACAAAGACATATGGAAAAAATCAGTCCAAGGGACTGGTAGACTATGCCATCCTCTGCTTATATGACCATGAGACCAGAAGAACTAGATAGTGCTCAGCTTATCACTATTAACCACTTGGAGGTGGATCTATGTAGGAGATCCTGGGTAGAGTGGGAGAAAAACGTGGAACAAAACTCAAAATCATAAAAAGAAGACCAGGTTTGCTGGTCTGATAGAGGCTGGTGAGACCCTTGAAACTATGGTTACCCTTCAAGTCTGGAACTGAACTCACTCTTGTGGCTTTGAGCCAAGCAACAGGCATATGGGGTGAATACTTGAATACTTACATCGGGTAGATATACTCCTTGGAGTGATCAATCATGGGAGAACAGAAGGGCAGTGTTTGCACAGGGAGATAGCTGGGGGTGGGAGGTGGGGAGAGTGCATGGGAGGGAAGGATACAGGGAAGAGGTAACTATAGGGAGGAACTGGGAAGAGAGCTGATATATTGTGGGGAATTGCAGTCAATGTCATGAAACAAAATGTGTATGAACTGTTGTATGGAAAATGAATTTTCTCTGTAAACTTTCATTCAAATCACATTTTTTTTTTTTTTTTAAAAAAAAAGGAAGTCAAAAGGGGAAAAAAAAATTACCACCTTAGAAACCCAATGGGGGTCACTATTAGCTGGAAGTAACTCCATGGCAATGAGTTTGGTTTTTGGTTTATGTGGCTCACATTACATATCTATTTAACAACAACACTGCTCTAGAGTGATGGACAAATTCTACATATTCATTGAGGTGTCAAATAATGAGTATAAACGTTTGTTAAAATTCATTGAACTGTACACTTAAGATCTGTGCATTTTACTATATGTAATTATACTTCAAAAATTCTCTAAAAAAAAAATGTTAAAGCCTTATGACCTTTCCACCACCAACCATAACCTCCCTGAAGGACTGGAGAGCCCACAAAGGACAGAGATGACAAGGAACTTCCTAGTAATAAGGGCTACAAAAAAACTTTGAATAAGATACTCTATGTTAGTAGAAGCTTCCATTTTCAGCATCTTAAATGGAATCCAGAGTGTCTGTGTGTATGTAGAGAAAGTATACAGGAAATATTTATTTGAGTCTAGCAAACTCTGTCAAGAAGACATTTCTAGAGGCCTAAAATACCTGGGTAGCATAGTGCCTAAAGTACTTGACTGCTGACCAGAAGCCTGGCAGTTCAAACCCACCAGCCACTCCTCGGAAGGAAGATGGGGTAATCTACTTCTGTAGTGATACTGCCTTGGAAACCCAAGGAGGGGTCGCTATGAGTTGGGTCCGAATCGACGGCACATAACAACAACAACAAAATACCTGGAGTGGGAGACATCCATGCTGTAGACTTTCCCTTGGGAAATCCGGATGGAGCAACAGTGGCCTCAGGCACAGAGGGAATGGGATTGGAGGGGGTGCTGATTCAGGACTTTGCCCCTTGATGGGATCATGAAGGTACACAAAAGATCTGATCTTAGCTCATATGCCGCATGCTTTCTATCCACTGACAGAGGCCTAGAGAATCACAGTATGGCAAGGCTGGGAGGAAATATAACTGGCCTTTTGTCCAACTGGTCTGTTTACAAAGAAACCAAGGTCCAGAGAGGCTGAATAACTTGTAAAGTCACTTATAATTAGCTGTGGTAGGATCAAGACTTGCTTCCCTGTCATCTAATTCCCAAATTGAGAAACACACGAGAACCAACTAGATTCACAAGACACAATTAGTAAACTAGAAACACAACTTATTTCTTCCCAAAGGGCGAGGAGCTGGCAGAATAGTTAGTTCCTGTCATTCTGCAGGACACTCCCCTAGCAAGGCCCACTTGAGAGATGAAATCACAGCCATACATTGGCTTGTTGAACACGTGATCAGCAAAAATAGCTCTTTCTCCCAGCACTCAGAATAAACACAGGCTTGTCAACATATCCTGAGCAAGTTCACCTTTGCTTAGGCGATTCCCTCTGCCATAATGCCCTCCCTCCTATATGCCAGCCACGGTTCCTAAACTGTGGACCTTGGTGTCATTGAAGTAGAGTGCAAAGCCATTGCTGCATGAGCTGTTGCTGTTGTGTGCTATGGAGTCAATTCTGATGCATAGCAACCCTACATGACACAGTAGGACTGTTCTTTAGGGTTTCCTGGGCTGTAACCTTTACAGAAGCAGATCACCAGGAGCTCTGATGGTATAGTGGTTAACACATTCAGCTGCTAACTAAAAGGTCAGAGGTTTGAACCTACCTGTTGCCCTGAAGGAGAAAGATGTGGTAGTCTCCTTCTGTAAAGATTACAGCCTTAGAAACCCTACGGGGCTCTTCTACACTCTTCTATAGTGTCACTATGAGTTGGAATTGACTCAGTGGCAGTGGGTTTGGTTTTGGGTTTTCTCCTCCGGAGCCACTGGTTGGGTTCAAACTGTCAGTCTTTCAGTTAGCAGCCAAGCACTTATCCATTGCACCACCAGAGCTGCTTTGCTGATGAATATTCAAAAAAAAAAAAAAATACTACTGCCACTGAGTTGACTCTGACTCATAACAACACCCATAGGTTTCCAAGGCTATAAATCTTTACAGAAGTAGATTGCCTCATCTTCCTCCCACAGAGCAGCTGGTGAGTTAACCAATGACCTTCTGGTTAGCAGCCAAATGCCTTACCCATAGTGCCACCAGAACTTCTTACTGGCTATAAAATAGGTCGCCACTGCACTGGCTTAAACATTTCCTCGGCACCTGGCTATTTCTTAGGAAATCTCATTTAATGGTTGTCATACCTGAGAAAACTGAAGTTCAGCTAAGTGCCAAAACTACTCAGCTAGAAAATCGGTTCACGTGAATACAGATCTCTCACGCTCCAAAGTTTCTGCTTGTAGATTAAAATAAAATAACATGAGGAAATTAGGAGGGCTTAGTACATGGGAGCTCTGGTAGTGTAGTACCTAAGGCATCTGACTGCTAACCAGAAGGCTAGCGGTTCAAACCCACCAGCCGCTCCTTGGAAGGAAGATGGGGCAATCTACTTCTGTGGTGATCTGCCTCAGAAACCCAAGGAGGGGTCGCTATGAGTCGGGTCCAACTCAACGGCACATGACAACAACAACAAATAGACATGAAGGTTGGGGATCTCTCTTTAGGAAGGCTTTCCTAATCTCATTCCCACCAATCAGATTCTTCCTTGTTCTGACTGACATCCTTAGTGACAAGCATCTTTGTGCTTGAATCTGAGTCTGCGGCCTTCCCCTGCACCATCTCTCTTAGGCAGAGTGAAAGCAAGTGCATTCATCTTTGTCACCCCCATGGCACCCTCCACAGTACATTGCACACCTACCGAGTATACAAGGAGGGAACAGTAACCAAAGCAGATGTGACGTTCCCTGATCACAGTGTGAGAGTGTATCACTTGTTTTCTATTGTTACTGTTAGACTGCGGGAATCTTTGGTGGAATGAATAGGAGTATCATCACCAAATCATTCGTAAATTGTCTTTAGGAGATTATAGGAGGAATCTACTTTTTGTAACTACTTATAATTTCCACCCAAACACTTTCTGGCTTAATGCAAGTCTTTCACAGAAAGATAACATTTAAGTTACTGATATCATCTAATGACAGTCATCTCCCTCCCTGGAAGGTGGTTCATGAAGCCCACTCAGTCTTCCACCACTACCATCAGCACTGTGTCACTGGAGCCCCAGTTCTGAGCATCATACCCAATACTGGAAGGCTTAAGCCACTGCTCTCTCCTCTTCCCCAACTCTGAATGCTCCCAGCACACTGGATGCAGCTGTCTCCAAGGCAGTCCTAGGTCACCCTTTGGGGAGGTGTGGAGGAGGCGTGCTCATCTCCAGATGTCTCCTTGGATTCCTCTCTCCAAGTCTCCCTGAAGCCCCAGACTAGCCCATTTGGACCTTCCTTGGGGCAGGAGGTGTGTGGACAAGGGAGGAGTGGGTGGTTCGGGGAACCAGAGAACAATGGACAGCTCCTCTTTCCTCAAAGGAAGAAGGCCTGGAAAGCCTTGTCTTTGATGGACAAGGGGGTGTCCAGTAGGCCCAAGGACTGGACTTTGGCCGGCAGAGCCACCATCTTGCCAACTGGCCAGGAGAGATAACCAGGTCTAAGATAGAGACCATTGAAAAGTGGATCCTTCTGTCCTATCAAATCAGTTGGAATTCTACCCAGACACATTTGAAGGTTCTCAGTGACCAGCCCTGCTCCAAAGGAAAGGCTGGGAAAAAAAAACAAACCTTTGTCAACCTCTCCCACAACCAGCAGTAAGTAGTATTAGTGGCAGTCTAACCTGACTCAGAGGTTAGCTAACATGCCTAAGGTCATGTAGCCAGTAGGTGGAGGACTCAGGGCTGGCTATAACTCAAGTCAGTTTGCCTTCAAAGGTAATAGGCTTGCGTGTGACCAGATCAGGAAAAGCTGAGGACAGCAGCCAGGAGGTTTTTGCTCCATGATACTCAGAACACCCAATGGATCGTGTGTTGATTTATGTTTCCACGAGGGCTGAGGACTGTGATCTATGTTCTCTATACTCACAGCACCACAGATAACATGACATCTGTTCTCAGGAATGTTTGTTGAACCTTTGAGATGACTGAGGGTTTCTGAGAGGAAGTAGGAGAGAAATCAGGTGAAACCACCACAAATAGCTGAAAAGGTTTCAAGCACAAGAGGGTGGAAGGAATAGGAAGGAATTAGGCCAAACACTTGAGAAATCTAACCTAACTGGATCAATGGGTTTCTTCTGACACAGAGACAGAATTTCTCTGGGGACAGATACCCCCTCCCCATCCCTCTAGACTCGGAGGTTGCAGGCCTGTAGTAAGTGAGGGACCCGCTTTGTCTACATTTCTCCTGGAAGAAGTTAAAGGTCAGGAATGCTGCCTGAGGTGGGCTGATTAGCATCACAAAATACAGATACTTTGGGGGTTCCCTGAGAACCTTTCAGGTCTGAGGGCTCCCTGGAGTCTTGAGGTGGGGCTTGGAGGCTAGGGATGGTAGAGGTCCCTACGGAGGCAGGCAGGGAGTGACAGTTACATGAGGACCCAGATATTTTCATCCAAATCCCATCTACTGACCAGCCTTGTTATTAGCGACCCTGACTCACGGAGACCCCATGCACAACACCACCCGGTCCTGTGCTCTCTCTGTGATCTGTTGTGGGTTGGACTATTTTGATCCAGAGATCCATAGGGTTTTTTCACTGGCTGATTTTTGGAAGTAAACCTACAATCTTTTCTTACCAGTCAGTCCCAGTCAGTCTTAGTCTGGAAGCTCCTTTGAAACTTGTTCAGCATCATAACCAGGGCTTTGAACTGACTGGAAACAATCATCGCCAATGGAAACAAGGGCAGCGTTCACATTGTACAGCAACCCAATCTCTTTCAGGGTGGATTTTAACCCAAGCAGGAAACAGGCAGTGCTGCCTCCCTCAAAGATGGCAGCTGACTGACGCAGAGCTCTGACCACAGCAACAGACGACCCTCCACTGACAGACGGTGGTGGATGCACATGAGGAGCATTTGCTGGGAATCAAACTCAGGGCTCCCACATGGAGTGCAAGAATTCTACCATTGAACCACCATTGCCTTAACCCACTGGGCTTCCCCAGAAAACGACGTGTAGTGATACCAAAGACGTTAAAGCCTGATAAGCTTTCTAGCTTTCAGGAAGTCATCAAGTTCAAATTGTTATAGTCTTACAATTCTAGCCAAGAGGAATTTGCATCTCCCTCCAACTATTCCCGCCTCAACTTTTTTTTTTTTTTTTTTTTTAACTAAATCAAGTTCTCTCAGAAAGCCTCGTTTAGGCTTTTTCTCCCCTTTTCCTACCCAGGCCCTCACCCCATCTGGTGCCCCAAATTGGGTCCTGGCCACAGTCTTAGTACTATGTCCTGTCTGGGTGGCAGAACTGATAGCAGGCTCAGTGGTGCTCAAGCCTCCTCCTGCTGGGTTCTGAAGATAACCACCACTGATTGCATCCAAGGGAGCCCAGCTCTGTGTGAAGTAAATGTTTGCAGTCTTAAAGGACTCTTGGGACTGGCACACCAGGAAGTCAGCTTTCCTTATCCTAACCACATCTTCTTTGGGTGCCAACACTGGCCCCATTTCTTGCACCTAGGACAGAAGAAAACAGTCCTGGGAGTAGGCTGTTGTTGTGTACCCTCGAGTGTCCTATAATGACCCTACAGGACAGAGTAGAACTGCTCCACAGGGTTTCCTAAGCTATAATCTTTACAGAAGAGAGCTCTGATGGTGCAGTGGTTAAAGCATTCAGCTGCTGACCAAAAGGTTGGCAGCCTTTCCAAGATTTGCAGCCTTGGAAACCCTATGGGGTAGTTCTACTCTGTCCTAGAGGGCGGCTAAAAGTCAGAATTGACTCGATGGCAGTGGGTATGGTTTGGTTTAATCTTTATGGAAACAGACTGCTCCGTCTTTCTCCTCCAGAATGCTGTGGTGTGGTGGTGGTCATGAGTCAGATCTGACTCATAGCAACCCCTTCTTGGGTTTCTGAGGCAGCCACTACTCAGAAGGAAGATGGGGCAATCTACTTCCATAGTGATACTGCCTCGGAAACCCAAGAAGGGGTCGCTATGAGTTGGGGCCGACTCGATGGCACATAACAACATCACTACAGAAGTAGACTGCCCAACCTTCCTTCTGAGGAGTGGCTGGTGGGTTTGAACTGCCAGCCTTCTGGTTAGTAGTCAAATGCCTTAGACACTACCCACCAGAGCTCCTTCCAGAACGCTGGCAGGTCCAAATTACCAACCTTTTGGTTAGCAGCCGAATGCTTAACCACTGAGCCACCAGGGCTCCTTCCAAACCAACCCCTATGCCATCGGGTCTACTTTGACTGAGCAGGGCTTCTCAGAAGGAGCAAATTCAGTGTTTACCAGCAGCTGATAAGGGGCGAGAGACACTAATTTTAGTGGCTGAGGGAAGCCAAACTCTCCAAGTTTATCTCCGAAGGGGGTCTAGCTCAGAGGCAGTGTCTTAGGGACCCGGCCCAGCCTTGGCCTTGCCTTTCCCTCTCAGGCTAGACTACGAAAGGCCGGCGGTCCTGGCCCTCTACGTGCGCATGATGGGAAGAATGTAGAGTCTCGGAGTAGAACCAGGGCCAGCCCGCGCGGACTAGGCTGGCTTTTCCTGTTGCCTAGGTGCTAGGGTGCGGGGTGTGGGGAGGGATACTCCTCCCCAGTTCACGCCATCCAGAGGTGGGGCTGCTGAGGGCTCGGCAGGACCCCCACGGCTTCCTCCCGGGGGGCTGCCCCGCCCCCCTTCCTCCCGGGGCGGTACCTGAGAGGGCGGACGCCCTGCAAGATCGCTTCCCGCCAGCCTCGGGCGAGGACGACCCGGGCCCCCAGCACCCCCAGGTTCCCCGCGCACAGTCTCCTGAGGCGCAGCATCCCGATGCAAACAGCCATGGTTCGTTTTGCCCTACGTCCCGGGCCGAAAAAATTTTTAAAGTGAGCCAAGGCGGGGCGTGCCGGGGGCTGGCGGGGAGGCGGGAAGGGTCGTCTCTGCCTATGGGTGGCGGAGAACTCGGACCGGCGGGGCGGGGCGGGGCGAGGCGAGGCGAGGCGAGGCGAGGAGGCGGCCCCGTGCCGGGCCACCTTCCCTCGGACCCGCAGCCCTCCTCCTTCCACCCTCCGAGAACTGCCGGGATTTCTGTCTAGGTCCCAGGGCCCGGGCGGCAGCCCCAGGCGGGTCTCGCGTTCCAACCATCCGAGCCTAAGTTTGGGGCGCAAGAGTTTGTGGATTTCATGGAGGGAAAGCCAGGGCGCGCGAATGCAGGGCGGGGCGACAAGGCCAAGACCCGTCCCGCGTCCGGTTTAGCGCGCTGGTCACGTGCTGGCTCCGGTGGTGGCGAGCCAGAGGCCAAAGGACCCGCCACGGACCAACCCCGAGGCGTGCCAGCTGGAGCAGAGGGGCCTGGGGAGGAGGGGAGGGAAGGCCGCCCGGACAAAGGGTGCGGCCCGTGAGCCCCCTACGGGCCAGCGGGCGAGGGGCTGAGTCTTGGCTGAGGCAAAGTTTACGAAGGGACAGGGACGCAGCTGGTACTCCCATCTCGTACGCACCAGCCTCCCCTGCGTCTCCACTGTCGGGTTGATCACGCAAGGTAAAGTGGCGTCAGGGACTATGACCTGTTTCTCAGCCTCCTTTGCCGGTCTCACACGGCTCTAACATACAGTCCAGGTGCGAGGCCAGCAGGCATTGAGTGCAAAGCTCCGCCCACACGCCGGTTTCGCTCTCCTTCCACCCCTCGTTAGGGTCCCGTGAGGCTCGGATGTGGATGGGGGGCACTAAGACCTGAGCTGAGCTCCCCGGGAAAGAAGGTCCAAATCTGGTCCCGGCTGGGGAACAGAGCATTGGCCTGGCCAGCCAGAGTGGTACAACCTATAGACATGTCACCTTCTCAGCCTAGTCTCAGCCCTTCCTCCAGAGAAGAAGGGGAGAGGAATGGGGAAAAGGTCCTGGCAGGGTGACCTCCCTTCACCTGACCTGGAGACATGGGGTAAGCAGGGTCAGGCAGAGGGATGGCTAAGGGCGGGGCTTCGCCTGAGGAGAACTTTGCCTGAAACTGTGTCTCCCCTGAGATGGTGGGAGTCCACTCTGCTCCTCTCTATGATCCTCTGAATGACCTCAGAAACCCCTGGGGTTCCCTCACCCTTCAGATTGGGGACAGCAGGAAGGCAGACAGAAGAGCAGAGACATTATGGGGAGCTGGGCTTTTAGGGGCTTGCCTTTCTAGCTAGACTAGTTCTCTGCCTCTGATGACCCAGCCTGGGAATGTGGGGCCTGGAGAAGTTCTTGAGTCTTTCCTGGAAGGCTCTGCCACTAAATTACTGGGTGACCTTGGGTAAATCCTGCCCCTCTCTGGGCCTGTGAAGTGAGGAGTGGATACTGATCTCGCAGGGCCTCCTTGCTAGTTTGAGGTCACTCCTAGGAAGAGAGGAGGCTAGATTCCTCCTGGAACTTTGCTCCAGCCTTAGCTTTCCCAGACACTGTTCTTTCCCAACTCTCCACCTCCTGGAGGTTCCTGGGAAAGCAGTAGTGAGTTGCCACAAGCCATGGAACCACAGCCAGCAGTTTCAGGACATACATACATGCCACTTGGCAGGCTCTTCATAGATGTTATCTCTGAGCCTCACAACCACCAGGCAAGGACAGACACGCCTTGGAATGAGTCTCTGATGTTATGGATGAAGAAACTGAGTCCTAGAGAGGTTCAGCTACTCTCTTGAGGTCAAGCAGTGGTGGGCACAGTAAGCAGCAAGAACATAAGCCAAAACTCTGCCTACAGAGTTTTGTGGCTTTGCACAAGTCACTGGGTCTCTCCAGCTTTAGTCCTCATCTGTGAAATGGGGATAATGATACCAACCTCACAGAGAGGGTTGGGGTGAGATCTGAGTAAAGTGACACAGACTTGTTCTCTGCTAGTTGTAAGTGACTGTTACTTTCTTTCTCCATTCTCTCCTTCTTCCTCTGCCTACATTCTAAGACCTTCCACTGTGCTGTTGTTGTTGAGTGCATTCCAATTCATAACAACCCTATAGGATTGAGTCAAACTGCTCCATAGGGTTTCCTAGGCTGTAATATTTACGGGAGCAGATCGCTAGTTCTTTCCTCCTGTGGAAACACTGGTGGGTTAGCAGCCAAGTGCCTACCCATTGCACTGCCAGGGCTCCTTCTATTCTGTACAAGGTATTACAAACTTTTTTTAGGAGGGGGAATTTTTTTCCTATCTGCAAAGCCTTGAGAGACCTGGTAAGCACTGGTTCTATGGAGGGAGAGGAGGGTAGGAAGAGAGGTGAAGAGAGCTATCATGGAATCACCATGTCGTGTGGTAGCATATCACATTGATGAATACTTTTGGGGTCAGCATGGTGGAGTCAGGAATGCGCACATCAGCCATTCAGGCCCTCCAATTCCTTCCTCTCTAGTCTCACCACCCTCAACTTGGATCAAGGTCTTCTGCTGGGTGCTGCTTGTGATCTGTGATTTATTGGCCTTGGAGCTCTGGTGGCGTAGTGCCTAAGGCATTTGACTGCTAACCAGAAGGCTGGTGGTTCAAACCCACCAGCCACTCCTCAGAAGGAGGACTGGCCAATCTACTTCTGTAGAGATACCACTTCGGAAACCCAAGGAGGGGTCACTATGAGTCGGAATTGACTCGACGGCAGTGAGTTTGGTTTGTCTTTTTGGATTGGAGAAAGCCCATTGTCAGTTCCTCCACTTTATTTGTATCCTTTCCTTCTGAGCATCAAAAATGGGCTTGAAGTTTTAATATTATTGATTTTTTTAAAGTCTTAACATCGACCTATGGATAAACTACACTTGTCCTAGTTAGAAAACTGGGTTAGAACCAGTTTAGACTGCTAAAGTTACTTGACAGTAGGCGAGAGGTAGAGAAAATCCTATCTATTGTTTACAAATTGAGTTGTCGAAAGATCCTCTGGATGACGGAATATGAAATAAAGTCCCAGAGGCAATGACTATATGTATAAAAAATAGCAATAAAGCTGTATTAAAGGATGTGGGGAGGGAAGAGGGGGGTATAAATCCCTACCTGCCAGACAAGAAACAAAGGAATAGCAGGATAAAGTATATTATCTGGAGGAAAATGGCAGAAGAAGTTGAAATACAAATGGATTAAGTAGTTGAAATTTATTCCCTTTGGGACATCGACCTAGAGTGAGGCGTGGAGCAGAGAATGGTTGCTTTTTATTGAAAACTTTTTCTTGTCTTATTGTCCTATGACAATAAAGACACTGTGCATATATTACCTTACTAAAACGTTTTATCAACAGTCCTGAGGGAAGTTTCTAACTAGCACCATTGATCCATCACCTGCAGGGGCTGGCTCTTCTGGGAGTCTTTGACCACAGGCAGTGACTGCAAAGGCAGTGAATGTCAGGTCTAACGTCAACGTTGGCGTCAGAGCTAGGTGGAATCCTAGTTCCGCAGCCTTTTCTCTCAATGATATTGAGCAAATCTCTTTTTTTTCCGTTGTAATTGGCAAGTTGATTTCTCCCGCTGCAGCTTTTGTGTTCTCCGCTGTGATTTCTCAAGATTGGTTGCAATAATGGGTCCAGTTCTTCAGTGTTTCCTTTGCCATGGAACTTTGCGGTTCCCCTCGGGAAGTGGCAGTCAGTTTCTTTGTCGGCTTGCAGCTGCGTTCGGTCATGTGACTTGCTCTGACCAATGGGATTTTAGTAGCTCTGATGCCTGCAGAGTTGAGGGGTGGGTGCTTGGGACGTTGCTGTCTAGTGGATTCCAACTCATGGTGACCCTTTGTGAATTAGGCTACAACTATTCCTTAAGAGTTTTCTTGGCTGTAATCATTACTGAAGCGGATCTCCAGGCTTTTCTTCCATGGTCTGGTGGGTTCCAACAGCCAGTCTTCAGTTTAATACAGGTGAGTGCAACCACCCGGGGATGCTGGCTTGAAGAAACATCTGTGCTTTTCTACCTCTATTCTTGCTCTCTAGTCCATGGGTGGTACACATGGTTAATGTGCTCAGCTACTAACAGAAAGATTGGAAGTTCGAGCCCACTCAGGCCTTGTAGGAAAAGCCTGGTGATTTACTTCTGAAAAACAGCCATTGAAAACGCTGTGGAGCACAGTGCTACTCTGACCCACATGGGGTCACCATAAATTGGAATGGACTCTCCAACATCTGGTTTCTTGCTCTCTGCTCTCACCCTGAGAAAAACATGCCCAGGCTAACCCACTGGTGCCAGGAGGAAGATAAGAGATACAGGAACCAGCGTTAAATCATTCCAGGCAAGGGACTCAGCAGCAGCCAGCAGCCAGCAGCCAGCCACCCCCACTCCTCTAGACAAAGGACAGAACCCATTCAAAATCAGCAGAGCTACCTAGTCAACTGCAGCCCAATCCAAGGTAAACATGGTTGTATACCACTGATGTTTTCCGTTTGTTCATTATGCAACATTTTATTGGCAAAAACTAGCTGATACGAGCACCGCACCTAACAGTGTATGGCACAAGGCAGCATCCAGTCACTTTTACTTGGAGTATGAAGGGATGCACCTCCCTCAGCCTAGTTTCCCACCTTGATTGGTTGTGAAAATTGTGAATCTAAAGGAATGAGACATAGCAACCATTCAACAAAGTAACAAATATCATTAAAACTGGCTCTTTCCCCTGAATATTATTAAAAAAAAAAAAAAAAAAACTCTCAAACTTATAGAAAAGTTGAAGGGATTTTATAGTACCCACCTACAGTCCATTATTAACTTTTTAGTACACTTACTTTATGATATTGTACTAGTTTTTTATTGCTACTGTAACAAGTAAACACAAACTTAAAACAATGCAACTTTATTACAGTTCTGTAGGTCAGACACTAAAAGTGTTGGCAGGAATGCATTCTTTTGTGGAGGCTATAGAGAGTGGGGC